AAAGACAGAAAGGCAGCCATGGGGTATTAGTCTGACTGATTGTCTGCTTCGGTAGCCAGTGTGTCTGTGGTGGTGATGATCCTGGGCAACTCCACTTTCATGGCCAAAGACAGATGTCAGCAGTAGTGGCTTCGGCCCATACAGCTGCCTTACACCACCACAGGCTTGTGTTTCAGGAGGGCAGCCAGAAGCCAGTGGTGAAGATCTAAGAATAAAACTTGTACTTCAGCACTGTTGCCTGTGTTGGTGGGATTGTCCCGGTTTGTGCACTGGATCACTTTAGCTTAACATTGTCCTCCATTGGAGCATGCTTAGGTCTTGGTCTGGCTTCATCGCCTTTGCCTACACTTCTGTTCCTGGTCCTTTGCATTAAGATAGAAATCTAAATAGGGTGGCTGACTGAACAAGCAGCCCCTCTTAAAACCAGACTGCCACCCTGTCCACTGCCTCGTGCTCCGCTGCAGCCCTCAGTCACCACTTTATCACCCTGTGGCACTGAATGGACCCCCTTCATACTGGTCGGGTTTATGACCCTGCGTTCCCAGACCAGGGGTCTAGATATGGATCTCCATCAAAGGCCCTCTCTGATACTACTGTCACCTCTGGTCTGCTGTGGGCAGACTGTTCTGCCTTAAAGAAACGATTATGAGGCTTTGGCTGGTAACCAAGACCTGCTGTTTTTTTTCTGTGCACCTTCTCATGACCCTACCTGTGTGCATGTATGGATATTCAGGAAGGCCTTAGTGGTGGCTATGAAGTGTTGACCGTCACCTGAACCCACAACTCACCTCGCTTCCGTCAGGAAGTGGCAACTTAGCCACAGGAAATTGACTCTTTCACATATTCGTAAAAAGTGCACCATACACTATGTCACAGAATGGCACAGAGTGGGAGATATGAATTGCTAAGTACTTCGATGCTGGTATAAATACATTACTGTTTTTTTTTTTAATTAAGTGTTTTACTTCTTAGAAACCCAGCCGTAAATAGCCTTTTTAGACACTGTCCTCATTTTTGTCACAGTCCACTCTCTTTTTCCACACACTCCCACTCATGAACTCTATAGAGCTATTTATAGCTCAATCACATGATAGAAAACATATTGTCCCTTATTTGTTGGGTCTGGTTGCCTGCTCAGCTTGTATCATTGCATCATTCTGAGTGGAGGCAGCAGTCCAAGCTTTATGAATGAACTGACTCTCCGCCAGAGGCTTGGAGATGGCACTGATCCCACTGTGATGTCACTCCAGAGACAAGGAGAAGAGAGGGAGCTTTATGAAGCCTCCCATTCATTTATTTGTCTGTGTCTTTCTTTGTGCCCACCCCTGCTTCTCTTGTCCTGTGATGGGCTCATATTACCGGCTAGTGACTCACCCCCCACTTTCAACTCAATCACCCCTCACCCACCCAAGATGCTCCCTTTGCTACCTTCCTCAGCCCCGTCCTGCCCTGCCCAGCCGTGCCTGTTCCAGCCCAATAGACTTTGGCCCCAGCCGCAAAAATCCCAATTTCACACCCACGCTCTGGTGCGCAGGCGAGGACGGCTGCTAATTTAGTTCATGTGTGTGTGTTTATATGCGTGTCAGTTTAACAGCCTAAGGTGCCAAACAGAGACTACATCTAAGGTTTGGGTAGGGACTTAGTCACGAGGGCAGGACAGTAAAGGTGCACAGCCTGTCTGTGACAGTCCTTGGGGGCAAATATTGTCGTTGCACTCAGCAGCTTTTCCATTACTCATATCATTGCAAGGCGGGGAGTGGCTGATCGATACCTTTTACTGTAAATCCAGACTAAACATTGTTCTCATTTCATCAGTGATTCTCAGAATAGATGGACTTATTATTCAATCTACATCATTAAGAGAAATTGGTTTCATGTCTTTTCTTTTTAGTGCAGATGCTCTTTTTTTAGTCTGAGTCTTGTTATTGAAATGTGAATGCCATAATGTTGTGTTTGATTTACACCCACTCCCACATTTTGTGAGCTAAGTGGATGGGACTCATTTTGCGGACAGACCCATACCGTCTAATGTGGAAAGTGATGACTTGTGGATGCTCTAACTCTCAGTACATACTGACCATTCTGTGTCTAATGGGACTCGCAGGCATTGAAATCGTATCAGGACTTCATCATTTACTAGAGATTGTCTAGATCCAGGCTCGCCTCTCTCGCTAATGGATGCACATTGTACATTAGCACTGCCGCAGATAACTTTCATATGGATCATTCACCATGGAGACTGCTCTATTATCACTTCACTTTTATGTCTAGTGTTTGCCTTTCAGCGTTTCAGTGCCCTTTGCTTCATGTTTTTAAGTTTTCAAATCAGAAAACATCATATATATAGACACACAGCATATTTCATGAGCAAAGTAATATATTTAGTTGACATGCATTTGCACCTAACAGTTCAAACTTAGAAGAGAGTTGTTGCACTTTCAATTGCTGCAAGATAGTAAACAAAAATCCCACTTCAAACTCATTTTAAGTAGGAGAAACAAGTAATTCAAATAGAATACAAAAGAATTTACACAAATTGCAGTTCACATTTTAATTTGCTCTGTAATCATGGTCCACATATTTTTCTCCTTAGAATGCTCTAATGTTAGTTCTCATGCGTTATGGTGTTGAGTGTCTTTGATGCAGGATTTAGTGCTAAAGTGGGTTGAAGTTTGTGTGGGCAAGTACACGGGTTGATAAAAGCGATGGGGAGGGAGGGGCGTAAACGGTTCGAAAGTGCAGACAAACTCCACTCGATCCAGTTTAAATAAACTGCCACATTTTGCTTTTGCCTTCACATCAAAGCGCAGACTGTCTGAGCCCCAGTCCCATCTCAGTTTGCAGCCATTTGCAACATGCACGTTTTTGCACCAGCAACAGTACTTAAAAGAAAAATGAGCTTGGTAGAAGCCTCGGCAACCTTGCTGTCAGGGGCAACTTTACACAAAGACATCTTGCTCAGGTCGTATTTTTATTGTGAAAGTGCATGGCTTATTTTGATGTGCCAAATGAGTTTAACGGAGGTCTTATGTGAGACTGTAAAACAATGTTTATCTCAGCTCTTCAACCTTGCTTTTAGTTCTGAATGGAATGGTTAACTTTCTGTTTGTTCACCAGTGCAACGAAGAGCAATACAATATTACTGGCCTAATTGAATCACATGAAGAACCAAAAAGCTCCTGTCTGACTCGAATCTGTTGTGAGGTTTCTTTCTTTAGAGAGAAAAAAAGAGGGAAAAAGACCCAAAGACAGGAAAAAAAAAAGAAGAAACTGGGAGACCTAATTTTACAAACAGCCAGACAGACATTGGTTGCATGGGCGAAGGAGGGACAGCTGCTGTGCATTCCAGACGAGGTCGAGACGTCAGCGAGTGGTGAAAACAAGCATGAACTGTATGTTGCCCCAGTGCACTGCTGGCAGATTAAACCGCCAGCCTTCGGAGATGCCAGCACATCTGGGTTCGCCGAATAGTAGTGCTGTGACTGGAGTGACACAACTTTTCCTTATAGCTAATTTGACTTCAGCCTAAGCCTTCTGTGATCTGATTATTAACAATTTTAACTGGTGTGCAATGGAGAGAGTCAAGAAAGATATACTAAAGAGATAGACATGCCGCAAAAGTTGTGGCCTTCATTCTGTGTGCATGATAACCTCCTAACACCGCTGTTGTGGTGTCTAAGTTTTGACTTATACACGTTACCTCCCCAGAATTGATCAAGCAAGATAATGAAATTATGTCAGACTGCACACAAGCAGATTATGATCGATGTCGTCCTTTGTTGTGTAAATGAGTGTGGGCACATGTCAGTTAATTGTACGTCTTTGAGGGCCTTTTCTTGTCTGTTTACAAGTCATTTGTTGAGTCTTGGGTTTTTGCAGTCTATTCCAGTGTTAAAGGCCTGGGGGTCTTTTCCCTACTCCCCTCATCATCTCCCCTGCTTTGTCTCTGTATCCCACACTCTGCAGCCTGGTCAATCTAATTAGAAGAGTGCGAGTCATCAGGCACTGTTTAAAGCCATCAAAGGCAGCTCTGTTCCCCACTGGGTGCCCACTGGCTGTGAGACGGCAACAGTAACCCTAGTGTATGATAGAAACCCTCGAGACAGCCCACCCCCAACTCCCCTAGCCACCCGCCAGCAGCGACAGTGACATCACCTCATCCCTTGACCTTTGACCTGTCAGAATGTTTGACCCCATGCTTGGTCTTCTGACAGTAGGCCCACTGTGTCGGGGCAACATGGTAGGGGGGCTAGCAGGGGTCATCGTGTCATTAATGGGCACCAGGCGCTGCTCTCCCACCCAGGATGTGCAGGGAGAAGAGAGGGTAGTGTTTGAATTGTTGGTAAATAAACTCACCTGCCTGTTTTAATGTGAGATTTGTCAAAGAATCCTGTCAGTACCAGAAACTATAGACAGCTGTAGAAATGAAAATGTTTAAAAACCACCTGCACAACACTATTTTAATTTAAAGACTGCTAAAAAAAAAAACAAAACAGTGAATTACCTGCTATTCCACCAAAGTCTGCATATGTGCATTTCATTCAAAACTGATGTGCATATATGCAGTGTTATGTCAAATTTTAAATAGATCAGATCCAAAGCTGTGACAGTTCTTATTTAAATAGATTGGATCTGATATGGAGACAGGGTCTGTCTAGACAGAATGTAATTGTTGAACCCTGTTGTTGATCACGGTAGATATAACTGTGTTGATTTAGTTTGTGTATGTGCAGATGCATGTGTGTATTTGTGTGAATATCTAACTGAACCACATTCACAAGACATTGTTTCCCACCCCCTCACTGTCTTAACTCAATTTTCCATTCAGTAAGCGGTAGCGACATAAGAGATAATACAGGATGCATTGCTGTAGCTTGAGTTGTCAATAAAAATGTAAGCAACTATATACTTTGAGCATATTTGCAATTCTCAAACCTCCAATGAAACAGATTAGACAAATAATATTGTAACTAATATTCTTTGTAATTTTTGATTGACAGATCCGGAGTGTGGAGATGTTCCCCTGCTAACTCCTGGAAGTAAAGAGATGATGTCTCAGGCTCTGAAGGCCACCTTCAGTGGCTTTACAAAAGAACAGCAGCGACTGGGTATTCCCAAAGGTAAGAACTGCTCATATTCTAATTTGTTCCTGTTAACATTTTCATTCTGAAAATCAAATCTCATCAGTGAAAGCATGAGCCATCAAAACTGCTTCAGTGTGTCACATGTCAGGTCCTTTCACATTACTTTAAAGCATGAAGTGAAGGCATCTCCTTGCAAGATTGACTGAAAAGCAGGAGACACCCAGTCATTCCAGAAATTGCCTTACATTATATACTGTACATTTCAATCTGGGCAGACTGACTGACTGCAGCATCAAGAGAATCTAGACATAGAGACAGACAGTGAAATAATGAGTTAGTATTGTCAACTAAAACAACCACAGAGCTGCTTCATGCTGTTTGCAAACAGCAGGACTTTTGGTGTTTCTATGTAATCGTACTATATCTGCAAACTATGGTTTTGGCTTTTCATTACCGCTGCTGTTCATATTCACTGCTTCCTTCATTGTTGATTGTTGAGTGACAGTTGGTGCTGCAGTTCAGGATGTTAAAACTAGAAAGGTGAATACTCAATCTCAACTGTTATCATGAAAGTTTGAATAAATATGTGTAGGATATACGCCTCATTATTTAACAGTAAATGTAACAATCATCAATTGTATATCTTTTTAGACCCCAGACAATGGACAGAAAACCATGTGGCTGAGTGGCTAACGTGGACAGTGAATGAGTTCAGTCTGAAAAACGTTGACTTTGACAAATTTGGCATGAACGGAGCCAGCCTGTGTGCAATGGGGAAGGAGCGCTTCTTGGACTTAGCACCTGACTTTGTGGGTGACATCCTTTGGGAACATTTAGAAATGCTTCAGAAAGGTAAGGCCACAGAAATCTGAAGACAAATTAACATGTATATTTTCTAATTCTAAGACTAATTAAAAGACTAAAGGTGATGGGATGATTTATTTTTTTAAACCTCAGTCATTTGCAGTGAGAGAAACTCTCACCACAGAAGCTTATATCACTGTTTACTCCAATTTAGGACTCTGTTGGCATTTGCTTTTGAAACAGGAGCCAAACAGGAAGATACAATTTAGCTCAGGTCATTAATTTTTGATAATGCTGAATGCAGTTACATGATACATGAAATCAATGACGAGGTCACTGACTCTATCTATTTTTCATGAAGAGGATACAAAGCATTACCCCATCAATGGACTGACCTCCAACTTCCAGGAATCCCGCTATACCTCAGACTATTTTGTCAGTAAGTACTCATCACAGTCCTTGTCAGTCACTCTGTCTAATAGCATAAGGCACATGCTTAAGATGTGAATGGAAATACTGAAGGAAGGAGTGGTTCAGTGTTGTGAATTAACCCTCTGAATGAATGTGCAATATTTTTTCCACATGCCCGCAGGTGTTACTAATACTGAAAAAAAAAAAAAATTGTGACTCAACATACCGTAGATGCTTTACTACTTACACTCTAATTTGTTCCCATACTTGTCTCCTATCTGCTCTGTGTAAAGACAGTATGTAGTTGAGTTGAGAAGTATCAGAATCATTGTCATATGACTGCTGGTCACAGAGAATCCCTCATGACTTCACAGTTTCGCTGAGGAGAGTAGATGTTTTAGTTTTTTTCAGGGTCTTGTAAGAGCAATTTTTAAATTGAGACATATTATATTATTACATTATGTTAAGCTTAGATTTGGTTATTTTTACCAACAGAACCCACAGATCAGTTATTGAAGGACTGTTGGAAAGTTAATAACCTGATAATTATTTCCATTGAAACAGTTGCTAGCTTTGAAAAATGGCGCAATTGTGGCATTTTTTTAAAAAGACATCATGCCTTTCAAATCCCCCTGTGGATTTTGGGGTTCAGAAGTTTGACATATTTGGATGCACTGTTAGAAAATGGATGAGATTGTTTTTAGTTATGCACTTAGTTTTGGAATATTGACCCCTTGTGTATCTTTGCTACTATAGATAGCATACTGACAAGAGACCTTAGAAAAATAAAATGGTATCACAGTAAGGTTTACTGATGTTAGGTCTAATCAGTATTCTTTCTTAAAATCTACAAGATTCATTTTATACACTCAAGGCTGTATTTTATTATGGACTATTCACACACTAGATATTCACACAGCATTTGGGCAGCAGTTCAGCACAAGAGGGATAATGACTCCGCTCTTCTAAGATTGATCTGCCTCCTCTGTTTTGCTCTTTGCTTTCCTTCTCTGCTTTCTATCTACACTCATTTCCCTTTGTGTCTCCAGGCTATGGTGTTGAGCATGCTCAGTGTGTCCCTCCTTCTGAATACTCAGAGCCTGGCTTCATCACGGAGTCCTACCAGACACTTCATCCCATCAGCTCGGAGGAATTGCTGACACTCAAGTATGAGAGTGAATACCCTGCTGTCATTCTACGGGACACAGCCCTCAACTCCATGCAGGGGGACTATTTTACTGTCAAGCAGGAGGTGGTATCCCCTGACAACATGTGTGTGGGACGCCTCAGCAGAGGTGAGGGGGTCATACACTACATTTATAGGAATATAGCTGAGATTTCAGAAAATCTTGAGAATATACGACTAGCCTGGACATGCATTGCAGTGAAAAATATGCTGCATTAATATTGTTCTCATCAGATTGCTTGGATAGACAACTTCTACGTGTGCTTCGAAATTTGCATGCATGCGCTTGTGTGAGTGCACGTAAATGTTACAGGTTTCTGTGGGTGTTTGTCTGCGTGTGATTGTGCTGAAGCTACCAGAATCTTGTCATGCCACATCAGTGTGCATGTATTAGAAGAGAAGAAAAGCAGGCCCTCTGGTTGGTTTGTGGTTCAAGCAAACCTGCCTCACACACTCTAGACTGGGTTGGGAAAAAAAGAAAACTCTATTGTTTTTGTCAGAGTGATACACGAACCAAAGCCACAATGTGTTCTCTTCTTGCCGCCCGTCCTTTATGTAAAACAGTTGAAGTGGTGTAACCTTCAAGAAAGTTTTTTTTTTTTCTTGTTTATGTTGGCCTCTTTTCCTCGACTCAACCTTAACATTCTGGGTAAGGAGATAGAGGTGTCATCCTCAGCTAGCAAGCGTGGGGTTTTCTCATGAAACTGTTTGCTTTTCTGAATGCACAGGCTTGTTTTCTCTCCCAGTGATAGTTTACAGAGGAATTAGCAGCATGGTTTACATTTAGAGCCATAAAGCTAGGATTTTCTTCTCGCAAATCCACAGCTGTATAAATGAATAGCATGTGCCATGTACACTATACAAGCCTCCTTCCACTGCTGCTTTAAGCATTTGCCTGCAAGGTTTGAAGTCCAATCCCCATGCATCACACATACCAGGCTTTTTGAGCATTGTGTTGTGCTCCCCCAACGTGGGAAAGTATTTTGTAGCACAACTGATAACTGACATGTGGCTTCAATTTTAGCAGTTGAAGAATTCAGCATCAGTAGAAGGCACTGCATTATCTGTCATTTGTTAATTACTTAGCATTGAAAGATTCCTCTTATCTTTCCCAAGGCCAAAAATAGCAAGACAATTTGTGCGATTGTCTTCCATTTAAAATCAAATCCAAATGGTGCTTGTGAAAGTGAAATGCAGAGATGTGGCACAGTTCAGAACAATATAGCTTGGTGAGAAGCACCGTAGTTTACTGCTGAGGTGCCGTGGTTACTTTCATATGTCTTTGTAACATGCTTCAGAAAACTTTTAACAACTAAAAAACTGCTACATGTCCATTTTTGTCATTTCTCAAATTAGGCTTCAATAAAGAGTTTGTTAATGTTTTTAAGAAAGTGACTCTTCTCTAACGGCACTTTTTTTTGTCTTTCTTGCCATTTTGTTTCTCGTCCTTCCTTCAACAGGTAAGCTTGGAGGCCAGGACTCCTTTGAGAGCATCGAGAGCTTTGAGAGCTGTGACCGATTGACCCAGTCGTGGAGCAGCCAGTCTTCATTCAGCAGCCTGCAGCGGGTACCGTCATATGACAGCTTTGACTCAGAAGACTACCCCACTGCCTTGCATGGCCACAAGCCCAAGGGCACTTTCAAAGACTATGTGAGGGAGCGCTCAGACCTCAGCAAGGATAAACCTGTCATCCCTGCAGCGGCACTGGCAGGATACACAGGTAAGATCTCTAGACGTCATACTGTTTTGTGCCGATTTTGTACAAGCCTACGTTGAAAAATGCTTCGGCATTTTGCAGACCATTCTCATGGCAGATATTTCTTACAAGCGCATACCAAAACATGGCAAGGGGTTCATTTAAAGAATAATGTTGGAGTATTATCATTTGTTGTAGTGTCTGCATGCTATCAGTAGACTTTAAGAAAAAGATTTATGAAAAGCAACCTCGATGATTCATTTACTTGTATAATTTATTTTTTATCTTTTTTCTATTGTCACTTAAATAAAGGCTAACATTCAGTGCACAGATGTAACACACTTGTTGAAGCTCTGCAAAAGCCCCAGATGTGGGGCCGCCTTAATGCACCACTTTTAGACTGAAGAGAGAGAAAAAAGCCTTTTACCCAGGCAGCCCAACTTATGCACATCACAGGAAACAAAATAGATTTTGCTCATGTCTCCTTTTTTCTTCCTTTCTCTCTCTCTGTCTCTCTCTCTCGCTCTCTCACTCGCTCGCTCTCTTGTTCTGTCTTCACATCTCATCTACCTCGTTGTTATCTGCAGCCCGCATCTCAACCTATTTTTTCCAGGTCGTCCTAGCAACGCTGCTGAAACATAGAAATTATGCCTGCCCCTGCACATAACACCAGAGTAAAATTATCTCTTCATCTCACCAAGCATCTTCGTATTCATACATGCTCAAAAAGCTGGTGGATGTATGTTCTTCAAGTTCAATGAGATGTTGAGATATTTGCAAGCACCTCTGAAGTGAATGCACTATTTTAGCATCTGTCATGGTTTTTGGTTTTGAAAAGAAAAAAAATAACAAGTAAAAACTTCTGCAGTTTCTACTTTTAGCAGTTCACAGGGATGTGTATGTTAACACTGAGCAATAAATACTACTTGTAATTGTACTAAACTAACAGAAAGGATTTGAAAGTGATTTCGGCATTGTGTTAGCTGCCTATCACATTAAAGGAGGATACCTATCGAATTATATTTGGCACTTTAAAAATAAATATTAAACCTTTTTGGTCGTTATTAAATGGTTTAGTTGAAAATGTTTCAGTTTAAAATGAGATTGTAAGAACCGTTGAAGTGCCTCTTAGCAACAAAGTGTTTGGGACTTTTACAGTCTTGCTTAAATTATAGTCACAAGGCTGCAAGATTGCCAGCATTAGAAAAGGGGAAATCCAAGCTTTTTTTTTTTTTTTTTTTTGACATCACGAACAAACATACATCAGATCTCAACAGACTGCCTCAATGTTGGTATGCAAAAGTTAATTGGTCATCTGCATGGTTATTAGTTCAAAAGCCACCTACAGAACAATGAGTTGTTCATTTGTAATGATGGAATGGAAAGATGTCATAATGTATTTATAATCAAGTAATGAAGTCTAAGACAAAGCCCCTTTTGAAACATTAGAGCTGTACTTCTCCCTGCACCATGTTTAACCAAACCAGCAGACTAAAAATAAATGTATGCAAAGGATAATATATCACACAAACAGTTTTTAAACAAGCTATAGTTGGATATTTGGAAATATGCTCCTCCTGCACTGTTGCAAATGTGCGTTACGACATTCTGACTCCATTTACCGCTTTAGTTTTGACAGCTGACATTTATGCGTCAGTTTTTACAACATGACAGAGCTCCAAAGCCTGGCAACAGTTTTCAACTTAATGCATAGTAATGTGTTCTCACTGAGGAGAAAAGCCTTCCATTTGAGCTTTTACACAATGGAAAAGGGGAAAGATGAAAAAAATCACACCATAACTCCCCCAATTTTCCTGAAAGCAAAAAATATCCGGCAGCCTTTTCTTGTCCTTGCTATTTTAAAGAGTAGTGTAAAGAGAGAGTAGCCCTTCAGAGATGGAAGCATTTTTGTGTGTGCATGTCTGTGTGCGCGCATATGTGTGGGTGGACGAAGGAATGGAGATAGAAAAGAGAGACCTCAATCAAAAAGGAGGGGGAGAAAAAAAGGAATCAAACCTCAAATAAAGAAACGGGCTTTTGTACAATTCCAACAAGATTTTTATGGCAGCTTGACAGCTTGCTCTGCTCGGCTTCCTGTCCCAGTCACAGGGTGACAGGTGACACTTGTAGCGAGGACAGGGAGCCTGATAAGGCTGCAGAGAGATAAGTGAAGCTCCAGTTGTCATCTGCGTGGTTTCCTGTGACAATTCAGCATTTACACCTCTGTCTGCAGTAACATCAGGCAGTCTTACACCATGGTGAACTCTCAATCTTTATCATAATACTTTGCACCTCTCTTTCTCACAAATACAAAAAATACACAAACGGGCTTTATTTGCATTGCAACTAGATTTAGTGAAGTTCAAAAAATACAAAAAATTCTAACTCATTGTTTAAGTCATATAACATGTAAGAACAAAGCTTTTTTTTGTTGTCGCTCTATATGCTCAGCACTCATAGCACATCATTTGTTTGCCATGGATTAGATACTTAACAGTGCTAAGCGTGGGCCCTCACCCAACCCTCCCTTTTGCCACACTATGCTTTTCAATGAGGCCCATTGTGCACAAAGATTGTAACATATTTTTGGAAACTTAAAAAAAAGAATAAATTTAAAGGGGTTGCCTACATTCTGGCGTGAGAGCACAGGGGGCCTGGCATCACCCATAAGTGGGCTCTGCGTTACAGTAACAGACTTTTGGAATGCGAGCCGAAAGCTTTCTGTCTGAAAGAGACCCAGTGTTACAGAGGCGCTCATTTCCCAAACCTTGGAGTGGCTGTTGTCATGCATCTTCTTCAATCCTAGTCAGAGTAAAGAGGGCTCTGAGATGCCATTTCAAGTGTTCAGCCCACACATCTGTTTCCCTGAAAGCTTTTGTTTGTGTTGTATAAGGGTACATTTGGTTTTCTGAGGCACTCGAGAGAGGTGACTTTTTGCTGAGGCGGTGTGCTGCATAGGCAGGTGTGATTTCAACATGTGTGCCTTAAAAGTGAGTGGGTTCGTGCATATGCTGAAAAACCACACGATCAAAGTGTATTGCAGTGAATCTAGTTCAGAGACAAAACCAGCTTTTTTTTTTTTTTTGGATTGCCTTTGTTCTTCTCTCCCTCCTTTTTTCATGAGCTGTTTAATAACACTGAAATGAGATTTTAACAGGTTATTATATTACTCTTTATTCTTGAAAAATGCTTCACATTATAACATTACAGATGACTTAGCAACTGTGCTTTCTCCTTCTACAACACACACAGTCTGTATTCAAGTCCCATAGATGTGCTGCTGAACTCTGAAGGCAGCCCCTCTTATTTTAAAATAGTGATTTCACCAGTATGGAACTCATACAGACACAGACTCTAGATTCACATACTGCACAGGGCAACTGGCAGACAAGGGAATACATGATGAATGGGACTGTTGTATTTAGGAGGACATTTGGTTCCACTGCTGTACTTCAGTCTGACCCAGATTAGAAGGTTTACTTTGTCCCTCTTCAGACACAAGTGAATAATTGGCACGAATATTTAACACTTTCATATGTAGCACAAGTTCACAGTGTAGAGATACAGAACTCATTTTGACTTTGGATTCTTTTATTTCTTACAGAAGCAGTTCATTTCTCTTGCACTGCAGTGAATTAACAAATGGTGCATGGTTCTAAAATGTATAAGTTTGTAATCTAATTTACGTTTTCTGCAGGTATTCTGACTATTGATGCAGTCTATCATAATTTGTAATCAAATAGTTGAGGGTTTCAAACTAATAATAAAGTACTTTAAAACTTCCCTAAAACTGGATCTTTTTGTCCTGAATGCATGCTTACTTCAGTAGTTCCCCACTCCAGTCAACATCTGTACAATTAACAATGTGCCATCTATATGTGTAAATGAACACCTTCTCTCTCTATCTATCTGTGTCTCCCATCTGCTCTACAGGCAGTGGCCCCATCCAGCTGTGGCAGTTTCTTCTGGAGCTGCTGACCGACAAGTCTTGCCAGTCCTTCATCAGCTGGACAGGCGATGGCTGGGAGTTCAAGCTTTCTGACCCAGATGAGGTGAGAGGTTGTGACCTGCTGGTCACCGTCACACGGGCTGGGAGGTCCTAAGTTGTTAGCCAGATGAACAAGATGTCTTCTTTGTGAAAACAGTTGCATGTTTTGTTTAGCTCCATTCGTATTTTTAGAGGAGTATATTTGATATTTTATTGGAGCTTTTAAATTAACTTAAAATATAAATCAAAGTAGTGTTAGTTGTTTAGTGAATGCTGTTTCTTAGTTTTTAAATACTAATGCTGAATAACTTCCTCATGTCGTGACTGTCTACGGCTCGTCTTGACACGCTTGTGCCCTGTGCTGATTCAGGTTGCTCGGAGGTGGGGCAAAAGAAAAAACAAGCCCAAGATGAATTATGAGAAGCTGAGCCGTGGCCTACGTTACTACTATGACAAGAATATCATCCACAAGACATCTGGGAAACGCTACGTCTACCGCTTTGTCTGTGACTTGAAAAGCCTGCTGGGGTACACTCCTGAAGAGCTGCATGCAATGTTGGATGTAAAGCCTGATACGGACGAGTGAAAGCAGATATGAAAAAGGAACCCAAGACAAAAGTTAAGGAGCCACATGGACTGAGGCTCAAAAAGTGGTCTTAACTGTTTGATAGAGTTGGTAATCCATTTTTTGGGGGGACCAAAATGTTTTTAATGACTGTGGTCTTTGTCAACTTTGAGCTCCTGTCTCTCAGACCATATTTTAGAAAAGAAAGACAGAAGCCAAAAACCTGTATTCATATCCTGTTGCATTTGAGAAGTGTGTACGCGCACGTGTGCGTGTGTGTATGTGTGTGGATGGGCGTTTGTGTGATATATACTGGTATTATTTAGCAGCTCAAGGCAGAAGAAGCGCTATCGGGTAGAGTTCAGGTTCTGTTCTAAGTAGCAAAGTGGAGGAGGCAAGAGGACCAAGACACAAAGTGTGAGAGAGCTGAGAGAGGGAAAAGGGCAAAGTAAAATGATTCATTGTGTATTCAGGCTAAACACAGAGCAGGTGGAAAGTTCCCATTAAGAAAATGGTTGCCAAAATGTAAAAACCGAACTCTTTACATATTTGTTTACTTTGGCAAGGAAAGAGTTTTCAGCTAGGACCAAAAGAAAAAGTGTCATTCCTAATTTGTTGTTTAAGGAGCGAATGCTTGAGCCAGTATTATATAATTGATGGTGAGAAGACTCAGTGTAAACCTACCACAAAAATATTAGAAAGAGTATTTTTCTCGTGTTGTCGATGAAGGTATGACAGTGTAACCAAACATTAGATGCCAAGTTTAACTGTTGAGTTCTCAAAGGAGCCTTTAACTGAAATGTGCTGATGCGTTATCAGACAACACTATAGACACTGGCCCTGTGCTTTGTGAGGTGTGAGGACCTAGTGAGATTACTCATACCAAGAGTGTCTGAGAGACAACTGAAAGTAGCCGTTGCTTTTGAAACTGATGCTTTCACCTGTATGTACATGCTTGCCACCTTGTTAGAGACACGTATTGTGACTGAAACTTATGCATTTTTGCATATACCACCAGTATTAGCAAACTGTAGACAATCTATGTGGGGGAATTCAGGAGTCTTTGGTAAGAAGAGTCATTTAATGTACAGATTAGATGCATCATTTGTCAGTTCACTGCCCATGTTAGCGTTGCTTTAGAAGTGTTTGAATAGTCCTGTCTGTCCATACAATACAATCACAAGTTAATTAGCTGAGGGAGGGATTTTACACAATCCTAAGAATGTCATTTCTTTTGTTATGCAGTACATATTGTCCATAAAGAAGCAGCTGCAGTATAGATTGAAGGTACAGTGTAGACAAAAAAGGGACAGGCAAAATAAAATGTAGAGACCCTGTATGGGATAAATGAAGGTGACTGAAAGGAATCTGTGGATGATGCAGGTGAAGTTCGCTGTGAGGTCTGATAGAGAATGGTTGACAGAAATAATGCAGGTTGTCTTGCTTGAGACATAGAGGACTAGTGGCAGACATGTATTTCAATTTTAGGTTTTCGTGCTACTTATCTAATAATCAGCTCAGAATGAGTAACTCATGTATGATTCCACCTATTTGTGCAGTTTGCTCGGCACATGCATAACGATTCACTGGTTACATTAAAATTGGCAGCAGTATCCTCCCAACACTGGGAACAGTGGCTGTACACTGGCCTTATGGGAAATGCCAAAGTTGAATATTATCTTAGAATACAATGTTATTGTTTACAGTGGCTGAATGTTACCCATATGGATGAAAATAGCTTTTTGAGATGTCTATTTGTACAGATTGTATTTCATAATGCTTTATTGAGACCCAGATTACACAAATAAGCAAGAGACAAAGCAGGAATAATAACCAAAACCCATGTGAGGTCTTTGGCCACGGTGCTTCGGGTATCGTCCACAATGTTAGAAGACAGGGACCAGAAATCTCTCACGTGTTTGGAAAGTGTTGTCTTTTATCTTTTGTTAATATGTTGGAAAGCACACAGCTTTAGGACAAAGAGAAATGCCTTTGCTGATTTGGGTTTCCCACTGAGTGCAGACACAAGATGCTGTATACGTTCACAATGTCTGATTGGTAACAAGCTTGTCCACTTACAAACTTGTGTTCCATATCCATAGAGAATTGGATTTTAAACAGATCGTTCAGTAATAAGCTGCACTGTATTTTCATCACTTTGTGCATGGCAGTGTTTCAAAACACTGCTTTTTGTTTTGTTCAGGTTTTTTTTTTTTTTCCAATGTCAGTGTTTTGTGTTAAAGTGAGCTTTACAGATTTTTAAACATTATTGTAATGGAAAATGTTTTCTTTTTTCCCCCAGCATAAAGTCATAATGTTTGTATGGTCAGCTTCATAAGATTATTGTGCTAAAAGAAAACATTCTATTACCTAAAATGTTAATATTTTGGAAGTTATTTTGTCAGGAAAGTATACTGTTGTTAAATGTCAGAGACTACAATCTACTGCAGGTCTTATGTATTAATGAATCTTAGTCAGGCAAGTGTAAACACACCAATATTTTGTGGCATATGCATATCTCAGAATGGATTCAGAAGGAAAACCTTATTGTCTTGGATGTTGTTTTTTTTTGTATATTTTATAGTGTCTCTGTATTTTTGTTATGAGATCATTTTTATTGTATTTAGTTCACAAACATTTGAATATTTTTCAATAATTTATATTTTATAAAAGACAAGAGATGCAGACAGCTGGTGCTTTCATGGGAATTTAAAGGTAGCGCAGGACAAAATAATGTAGCGATTTTTTTGTTTTGTTTGTTTTTATTTTGTATTCTTTTTATATATATATATATATAAAATAGACCTGTCTGCTAGAGAAAAAAACAAGGCTGATGCTGGCCCATCAATGATTTCTGCTGGAAAGGTTTTATAAACTGTAGCTTCTATTTCTAAAATGTACTTAATGTACTTCAAAATGTTATAAAATATATGTGAAGAAAGATTTTATCACTGTGTGTGGTGTTTTGGTGGTGTGTTGGTTAATTATTACTGTTCAATCATGCTATATAACAACATATTAATACTATAATACGGATATACTACAGTACTACTATGTCACATAGAACCGTACCAAAAACATGGTTAACAATTTTGCTATACTATTTAAATATTTTAAGAGTAGTGAATGTTAAAGTTTTGTATAGCATCATTGTGTTATTTTATACCTCTTCTGCAGGAAATCGTGTGGTCTACGATGTAATGTTGACTCATCAAACTCAGTACTAAAGCTGTTTGATATGGCTCAACATCAAGAGTCATCAGAGACGTCCGCAGAACAGCTACTAACATGTTAAACCAATAAGCAACTCGGAACAGAAAGTTACTGGTTCAAGTAAAATTTTTGATTTATAAATAGATAATGCAGATGCACTGCAGTAATCGTCACCCAACTTAGTCAAACAAATCCATCCATTGTTCAGATCAGTATGGTTCTTCAAAGGGTGCCCATAGGTTCCCTTTGAAATAAAAGCGAGCCACGGGGAGTTCCAGTTTTAACAAGTGTGTCCCATGCGCACTGATGAGGTGACGTAAAAACGGAACCAACACACTGGGGCCCATTCATTTGCTCGTAACCCCTCATATAAATTCCAGTGAAGATAGAAAACATGCAGGGCCGTGGCCTGCTGCCCCAAACTGCACAGCTGTTTGGCCCCACTGCAACAGTCGAGCAATAAGATACAGAAATATAGGTCCAGTGGAAAATGGCTGCATTAATAGATTCCCCCCCCCCCCCCCCCCCCCCAAAAAAAAAAAAAAAAAGTGCATGAAAATATCTCATACACAGAGAGAATTTCAGGGTGTGTGAGTTTAGTTTGGGCCAAGTTTACACAACTTGACAAATGTAATGTTTTACTGTGTACAATGGAATATAAAAATTAGAGTGATGCTGATCAAATAAGACACACATACTGTATAAATCACACAAAGCAGAATACACGTGCAAGTCTTATTTAATATACTTCACATGTAACCCTAAAGCAAACACAAAAGAGCTGTCCTCTGTCAAAATCAGACTTGTATTATCCTGTTGGATCTGTTGGTGGTGTTCTTGGCCGAGGGCAGGCTGAGGTTACCCAGGTGGTTCTTCTCCTGTTCCACCTCCCTCAATCTGACTGAGCTGATGATCCAGACCAGACGTGATCGCTAGGCAGGTTTTAAAATATTTCACCAGACAGTGCATGTTCCAGCAGACCTGGAACTAAATCCAAATCATTATGATACCGCTCATACCTACCTATTCCACATCCAAACACAGACACAAAGAAAATCTGGCTCACGCAGACACACTTTGCTTCATTCCCTCCCACCCCCTTTGTGCCTCATTGAAAGAAAACTTCCACTGATTGAAGCAGTGTTTAAAGGTGAAAACCAGCAAAGAGAGAAGAGGAAGCCTGTGCAGAAAGTGAGAGTTGTCACACCTGGCAGCCACAGAAAGATGTGGGATGATTTCTGCCTCTCCCCGACAATAACTATCACCTCCTGTCGTCAGCAGCTTACAGCTCTCTTGATACTGGAGCGCAGCTCGTTTGTCAGATTTCAAACTTAAATATTTATCTAGTGGGTTTTACCAAGCTACATCTGTCTCCTGTATGTAATCTTTACGTGACGGAGAAAGATAGAGGGAGATTAAATGACGAACTAGTGTGGCCATTAAGTTTAGAAATACTGGCCATATTCAGGACAAGGTCTGTCTGTATCCTATCAGTATTAAGTACATTCAGGTGATACAACTAATTGTTTGGTCTGTACCTATTTATAGGATTCTTTATGTTGGGACATGACCTATTTTAAGCAGAATGCATTACTGCATTGCAGGAAAGGCATATCCTATACTGTGTATGCTTTTAAACCACTTCTTTCTCACACTTCTAGTGCCATCATAAAGCTTTACCAGCTCTAAAATCGTATAGTACCATTACAGGAGAGAATAGTGGTTGCATTACACAATGTACATAGTACACAATGCTTACTTCTTTACTTATCTCAATGAAATACATCATGCAGTTTCCCTACTACAAAAGCAGTAAAATACTGACACAGTAGGTCAAACATCACTTGTCTGTGCGTTCTATGGCAGCAGAAATACAAAGGTTACAAAATCAATCAATAAGCATTTAATTGCGTCCCTGTGTGGGGTAAAAAAAAAGACATTGGGAATGAAAACTGACCTATTGTTGTTGCATTTATGATTGACAGCTGCACCAGAGCAGGGTCCAGGACTGAAAGTCTGTGAAAAGCAACAGTTATTATAATTTTTAATTCTCTCGTGCTTTTCTCAAACTGATGGCAGCATTTAAAACTATTTAAATATTTCAAACTCAGTAGCAGTGCCTTCTGTTCCTCTCAAAACATGCACACAGTGTGTCTTTTGCTTTGGATCAAGTCTTAATTAGCAGCATAACATTTAAATGAAATAACTTGAAGAATAGTGGCTGGGCCAAATTGAAGAATCTGTCTTTACAAATAGTAAATGCCAAATTATAAACATGTGGCAGCTAGCAGCACAAAGTTTTGTGCTCCTCAAAGTCATTTGTAACAGAGTCAGTAAATGCCTCCAAAGTCAAGTCATTTGCCAGGGTTGGTAAACAGTACCAGAGGAAACTGCTTTGAAGGGAAAGAAAGAAGTGTATGTTCATTTTAAGTATCTAAAAAAAGCTACTAAATCTGAAACTAAGATTTATCTAGTTATCAAAATGAACTGTAAAAGTCAGCACAGCACAACCTATATTTTATGGTACAGGAGGCTAACTACCATCTGGCTCCAAAAAATGATCTATAGAATTTTATGGACATTTTTGACATAAAATGTGATATTGGAAGACAAAGTGAACACAGTCTAGTTGTCATTCCTGCAAAAGCTCTGCTTTAACTTCAGTTGTTACAGCTGGCTCTTTAGATTTAAGACCTAATAGACCTTCTGCTATGGATGGAACATAACTATATCTATCCTCACTACCCTAAATTAGTATCCTCTTCATCCAAAGAGAATCCCTGTGACGCACAAAAGACCAGCTCAGTGATTCCATTACGCAGAGAAGTTGTGAAATATGACCAATGTGTCCCTGAGGGCCCTAATGGCCCAACTTAAGACACACTTGCCGGGGGATATACTCATGTCCTATTGTCCTTCATGGTTGGACTGATTTAGACCAACATCACAGACTAACATAAACAGAGCTCGATCTGCCATGTCCTCTCAGATGTGACCCCTCTCATGGGTTTCCAAGAGAAAGAAAGGCAGACTTCTACCTCTGACTTCATCTACTAATTTGGCCTATTGCCATAACGTTGGGATTTTAAAGATTATTACACTGGGTTTATGAGAGTATGTTCAGACAAGCTCCCCTGATTTCATTCAAAGTTCCTCCTTTCTCCCCATTTGGACTTGGCAAATACATGTGTGTAAATTAGATTTAGATTAGAGTTTTTACAAAGTAGGCAAAGCATTTTTTTTTATTCTGAAGAAACAAATGTATCATTAACCTTGATAGGCATGACTACAAAACAAAGAACAAGAGACTTATTTTAATCTGTGTAATTAATTAATTAATTGAACTGAAATGTGCCCAGGTGTAACTCAACCCTTTGTTGTTTGCATCCATGTCTGCTGGTTTATGGTTTTTCTCTCTGTCTTTGTGGAAAGGCTGCTGCCAGCAGACCATTGTCCTTGCACTGCTGTGGGGTTGTTGATGAGGGTATGTTGCAATGTAATCCAATTGCTTTTGTTATGCAGGGCACCATGGTTGGTCACTGTGCGGGCCAAAGGTGGTGCTGGTTTGGCCCTTATGTGCTGGTTTATGCCCAGCAATCATTACTGGACCTTACCCAGACTTTGATATAGATTGCATGTGTCACCCATGTGTAGTGTATATGCATGTAGGTATGGATTGTCTGCTGTTTTTGTACATGTGCATTATTATGCAAACAAACAAACAAACAAACAAACAAACAAAACCCAGGCAGAACCAATTTTAAAAAAAACCTTCTGATTCATTATTAATTTTAAGCATGTGGTAAATCACGTCTAAACGTCAAGTGTTGAACGAAAGCAATAAGTCACATCTGTCCTCATAGTGCATTTACACTTGTTCTCTAACATTACCTTCTGGCAAATCTTTTGACTGTAAAAGCTCGCTTCTTCATTTTATTTAACTCCATAAATATCAAATGACTTGTGGTACAGAAGTCCTGGATTTGCTATATCACAATAACTATTGAGAATTTGATTCCAGCCAACAGTCTCCCATTTCTGAATACAAAAATCACTGATTTTAGGATTTAAGAATCAAGTTGGGGTTGATTTGGAAATCCCTCATGCTTACTATTGATACGTTCCTTGAGCAGATACTCTGTCCAAATACGTGTATATTTGTTTTCAGTGCAGCTTAATAAAGTCACATCATATGAATTGAAATCAGTCAGTAACCACCCTTTCCTTCAGCAACAACCATGATCTGATTTCATGCCGCAAACATAGTTTTCATCAAAGTGGGGCACTGTAATAGCTTACTGTGGAATTCTTGTTTTAGTTTGAGTTCATAAAGATCTTTACAAGTCTTTAAGATGTAAGAAGTTGCATGTTGTACTGAGCACTGTTCAATTGCATATAATTACTTTCTTGTTAAACTGAATACAAATTGAACAGAATAGAGACTATATGGCCAATCAACAGTGATTGTCAAAGTTAAAAAGGTATCTTCCTTGGTGACAGCTCCTGTGGTCTTAAAGTTGGACACTCTACACCTTTCCTGTCACTGCCTCCTTCTCTTTTATAGTATTGTTTTGTCTGAGATGTGTTGAACCACATGTCTTGGCAGGTGTGGTGACTGTATTATCCAGGCTTATGAAGGGCAGATCCAGGCCATCCCCTGCTTTGGCTTGTAATTTGCATTTTTATTGCCGTTGTCACATTCTCAGTTAATACACCATTGACTCCCAGAGGCACC